TGCTTTTTTTCCCTCTTTTTCTTTTTTTTTTTTTTTTTTTTTTTTTTTTTTTTCTCCTCCCCCCTCCCCCCTTCCCCCCTTTTTTTTAGGAAGACGATGTAGGGGATGAAAATAAAGCCCGAGGGAACTGGTCTAGCAAGCTGGATTTCATCCTCTCCATGGTGGGTTATGCAGTGGGGCTGGGCAATGTCTGGAGGTTCCCGTACCTGGCCTTTAAGAATGGGGGAGGTATGATGGCTTTTTTTTTTTTTTTTTTTCTTTCTGAAAAAAGGAAATTCAGTATGTAATATAATGCAGGATAATTTATCTGTAAGTTTTAAGTTTCGTACATCTTGGATCCTTGGAATTTCTTGAGTACAAATAAAATATTAAACCTCGAACGCATAAGAGTATTGAACGGCACAGATCTGAGCACTCCGCTTGTTTCCCTTTTAATTTTTGATAAGAAAGACAATACAGAGCTTTAGACCAAACGTGGCTGAACTGGCCCCCACTTTTTTGGGGGGGGCGGGGGTGGGGGCGGTGGTGCCCGTTTAGCCTGGCAAAGACCTCCAGAGCATCAACGACTTAGCGAGAACTGGGGTCAGCTCTGAAAGTAGGAAAGCTCCGGCAAGATTCCTTTAAAAGGTAGCGTTTTTCTGAAAAAAAACAAAACAAAACAAAAAAACCCAACACCTGCAGTTGGTGCTGGCCGGAGAGAGGGGAGAATGAAGAGCAGGGCTGATCACCCCCGGGCACGCAAACGGTGGGACGGGGGAAAGGGAGGGAGGGAGAGGAAGACACACAAAGGATTTTCCAGTCGGGAAAGTCCCACGAGAACGTTTGAACTCGAATGGAGACGTCATGCTATTTTGTGAAGTTTGGGGGATTTTTATTTTTTTTTTTTTAAATCTCTCAATGATCCGATTAAGCATTTGGATTAGAGCCAGCGCTGCTCAGCAGAATACAAGGGGAAACAAAACAGTTGGAAGAGGGGTTGTGCCGTTAATAGTTTAGAGCGGGAAGGAAAAGTTGATGTGCGGAGGTTGTCCTAAGGGAGGCTCTGATTTAAAGTGAGAACCAGTGGGTGTTACTGGTACAACCCTCTGCAGCTGGAAGCCCCTTCCCGGGACTATCGACAGGGGCTGGTGGTGGTGAGAACATTGAAAACGGTTGTGTAGAGACTGTAAGAGCTATTTTATGTGAAAAACTAGAAACTTAAACCCCAAATCAGGTTTGTTTTTTTTTTTTAATTTGTAAGCTTTTTTTTTTTGCTTTTTTATTTTTTCTTTTTACACGTAAGAACTTTTTAGGTATGAGGTGTTAAGATGCTCATTTGACGATAACGTTATCTCGAGCGAATGGTGGAGGTACGGGAAGCTGCTCCTCCCGGTCGGGGCGGGGGGCACCCGGCGAATCGGGTGACAGAGTCGACATTGGATCAGTGGGGAATCGATAACAAATAGGACGTTTTGTGATAGTTGCAGGTCTTGGCTAAGTTGTCCCCGGTATCGCGGGCAGAAATGAACCCCTTTCGGCCCCAGGAGAGCCCGTTCCCAGCCTGTAGCTGCCACGGGGGGGGATGAGCTGGGGGGGGGTCTGCCCCGCGTAGGCAGCCTCCGCACCGCGTAAGGGAGGCCAGGGTCCTCACCGTGCCATGGATGAAGTGTGTCCCCCGTCCCTCCCCC